ACACAAAAATTTTTCATCTTGTGTTTTGTGTCACAAAAAATAGCTAGTGATCCATTTATCGCAGCTGGAAAGTTCACTTGTTAGAGCATGTGACGGTTAATTACTTGAAGACTGTTTTCTAGCTCTCAATCGCTGTTTCGGGTGCAGAGAGCGCTAAGTGCGAGGGACCCTGAGTGTTTCTCATGTGAACATAGCTATGTAAGCACACCAGCCATGTTCACATGAGCACTGCATTGACAACTCTTTTCAATGAAGGCTCTCTTTTAAGGGGCTGTAAATATGCGTGACTCCACCCCCCCCCCCCCCCCCCCTATATGCACTGCAGAAACAAGGGCATCAACCTTTGTACTCCCGTGCAGGTCCGCCGCCGCCTCTTGCTGATAAGCTCTGCTTAGAGAGAGCTCTAGCGAGGATCAGTACAGTCAACACGAACTTGTGATGCAGATGGCAGTTGATATACATAAGAAAGCAAAGGCGGGTTTTATGTGCAGTGGCATGACAGGCATTTCAAAACTGGCTTTAAATGTCTTCTATTGATGTTTTGAAATAATGCATGTGTGTCCATGCAAATATATCCCACAAGTTATTTTGCCTTCAGAAGTTTGTCAATACTCTCTTATTGTATCGTTAACATTATGTTTACTATTATTACCGACTGGACACATTAAATAAAGGACACAGTATGAGGGACAGTTCGAAATGTAAAAAGCATTGGCTTTGACTGAAATTTAGCTGACATGGAAGTAATGAGGGAATCAAAAAGTGTCATAGTTACACCAGAGGTTGTTAAAGAAAATGACAATTCAGTGCATTTTAACATGGTGCTTAATATTGATGTGTACATATTAGGGAATTTCTCTTCTACCAATTCAAAACCTCCATGAAACCTCCATGTGTCTATGAAACGAGGTTCAGATTTCTGAAGAAGATGCGATGAAAGAATGACGTGCGCATAAGTGTCTCCTGTAACCATCTAAAGGGGTTTATCAGGAATTTCGTGGATATCAGGGACCTAATTGATAGTTGATAAAAGTGGTCTACACTTCAATTTAAAGAAGTTGCTGATAAAACATCAGCAATTGCACTGACAGCTTCTATTGCACTGAAACAGTCCCAATATGAAGAAATGCTTTTTTTTTTTGCTTGTGTTTTCAAGCTGAAGTACCGCTGCTGATGTACTTGACATGAAGTTCAGCCTTGGGCTTTGCCACTTTATGATTTTGTACTTAACCTTATTTTCAACTTAGCCATTCTTTCTGCCTCTTTTTATTAACTTATCATGAGGCAATGAATCGTAGCAGAGTTTTTAAAGAATACTTTATTAGTGTAAACTGATTTGACATCCTTAACAGATTTTTAAAGGAGCCCTGCAACACTTTTTGATGTTGGTCAGAAAATGCTGCCGATCAGTAGTAGAGGCTCCCGACAACACGCGAGCCAAATATTATAGCGCAGCATGCGGCCTGTAATTCACAGTAAATTATCAAGGTCAGCTGAAAATTGCTTTCTCTTCTCTCGACAAATCACGTTTTATGCCCGAAAATCACACGTCAACGGCCCATCTATCAGCCGTTAGCTGATTTGAACATGGCGTGCTCGCATGTTATAGAGATCGCCGCGGGAGGCCGCTACTTCTCCACGCATGCGTGGACGATCACACTAAAAAAGCCCCTCATCCGAAGAAAAAAAAAAGAAAAAAAAGTGCTCAATGTCATGAGCTGCGCATAACGTTTTTCTGTGGCCCTTCCATCCCTCCCTGCTTAGCTTTCAACGCTTTCGTCGGGACGAGAGAAGAGAGAATGCAATTGCAGCATGCGACAAACCTTTGTAACTCCACTCGTACTGGACGAATTCTTGAAATTTTTGTGGCATTGAATTCGTAAGGCAATAAGCTCTTTTAGTGAATTCATTCCATGGTCACTTGAAAAAGTGTTTCAGGGCCCTTCTAACAGGAGCAGATGATGAAGGAAGTATACATATCTATAGTTGTTTCAGAAAGAATAACACATACAGAAACTAAACTAATACAGAAAAAATTTTTAGACTATTATGTATCATGTTCATTAAGCTATGGAAATAAAGTAACCACATTTTCTTCCATAAAGGGGAATTTTAAGATGTACGCTTCTTGATATTTATGTTAAACAGTTTAGTTTGTAAAATGCTGAAAAATTGCTAATGCTCTAGGTTTTGTAATACACTTCGACTTATTAGCGATCAACTAGCTAGAAACGGCATTCGGTTGTTCTCATAGATTGAGCTCTTCTTCTCCTTTTGAAGCTTGGCACATTTGAAGAATGCTTGCTAGGTTGTGCCAACTTTTTTATGAAATGTGTATTAATTAGGTTATGTGATTCCTCTATTAAAGATCTTTGCATTTGTGATTCCGTAGGCCGTGCTCTCTTTTTTCACACATTACTTCAGAAAATTGACTTCAGCTCCTATCACTTTGCTGTTTTCTTGTTATACTTATGATACTTAGTGCAAAAGCCTTGGCTTGTTTTTGTAATCTGTAATCACTTCTCTGTGTGTTGTGCTGTAAAAAAAAACATGCTCCTATTTTCTATTTGCTAGCTTTTGTAGTTGTTATGCGTGTCTACGGAGAGTTTAATAGTCCCCATCTTTGGCCTTTACACACTATAATGGGAGAGTGGTGCCACTTAAGGCGTGGAGCAATAAACCACACCTTTATCTTAGGATGAGCTGCGATAATGGTTCATCATAAAAGCTCGATAGTTGTTGCAGCACGTGGTGATGAATATCTCACTCATACGAATGGCATAATAAATTCAACGTATCTGCCTGGCACAATTAAGCTTTCATTGTTACTACATGCTTCGGCTTTTAAACACCTTTATGCAGTCTTTAGTTTAGATTGTTAATGAGCGACGCCGTGGCCTGGCAACAGTTGCCAATCTCTAGTCATTGAGCTTGCTTCTGAAGGCTGCAATTCCTGTCATGCCATGCATTATGTCGTGGAAACCTACATCAGGATATGCTGCTGAGCGCTTGCATTGCCATGTTATGATAAGAAGTGATGACATACTTTAGTCATGGAAACGAGAGCAGGGAAGCACTCACTCTATTCTTTGTCGTTCCACCTTCCTGTTTTCTTTACATCTACTAGCTGCTCCTACGTGGAGTGTCGTGTTTGTTCACAGCAAGCGAATCTCGCATGGTGCCCTGTGTCCACACTGCAGGAGCTTATCTCTGTCGCGCTACGTTTGTCGATCAGGCGATGTGATGAGCGGGACATCCGTGATGGATGAGTGGAATTTGTGCGTGTCAAGTGCTTATTTCTTTTTTGCTGCACCTCTTACACTCCTCTGTGCAAAGATTACTATTGTGGGCTTCCTGTCTTCTCTTGCATCTATGTTTGCACACTTTCCCTTTCTTTCTTTTTTACAAGTACTGCCACCAACTCACCAAGCAGCTCAACTTATTACCATTTTTTATTTAGTACATGTTGCTTATCCAGTAGGTATATAAATGCGGATATTTCACAATCAGTTGTAAATGAAGGGAAAAAAAAGTAAAAACATGACTGCTGTGCAGCTTGAAACTTCTGCTAGTGTTTATTTATTCACCGCCATTTTTAGCGTAAACTGGACCTTTTCTTTGTTTAAAGCTAATAATGTCGCGGTGCAGGAGTCGTGCATGTGCACTACTCATGGATAGAAACAGGATAATTGAGAGCTAAGCCACACGTATGGTTTCATTTCCACTGTCCTCAGTTGGGGTTATGTTCACCTAATTTTAACTCTGACTACGTAGATCAGCGCCAACATTAAATTGCCACATTCCTTCCGCAAGTTTTCTTATCACCCCGTTACGCTGTATGCAATTCTCAGCGCAAACTGCGCCTACAGTGTTCGAGAAGCTTCAGGACTGCAGTAGATTATTTGGTAAAGATTAAGCCCACTTCATTAACATTTCAGATTATTCTGGAATCTACGTCGCGGCTTGCGATAATACTAGAATGTTGGATGGCTAGTGTATAAATGCCATCATGCTTTTGGGTTGATCAACGGCCGACGCTTTGCTCGCGGCTTTCAGTGCCAGTGTCTTGCGGTAATCTGACTATCCTTTTACGGGGCCACAAGTTCGGTCCAGAAAAACAGTTCATTATTCGGCCCGCAATCTGCCCCATTTATCCACGTTACGACCCCATGACAATATTTAGACCAAGTTTGTCGCGATAGGATGTGCTTACTTCGAGAAATTGTGAATATCAGTCGTTGGCACTAAGATATTTCACGCCGCATTTGAATTCATGAGTACTGTACATTCAGGGGCACATCAATCGAAAGTCAGCTTAAAAGTGTTACACTGTGGGACCCACGGTTGTTTCACAAATGCAAGCAGCTTGTCAACATAGCCAACAGAACAGTTTGCCATCTTCTTAACATTTAAATGCTAGAAAATGTTGGAAATCCAAGCATGAGGCTGTGAAATGCCCAATGGTTTTAGAGGTCTCAAAGTCAACAAACTTTTAGCAGATTACCTTAATTGATGATGAAGGCAGTGTTATTTCTTTTTTGTACAAGAATGTGCGCTTGCAGGAAGCAAGAAACTCCTTTGGGAGGCAGTAATGATTATCTTTCATGCGTAGCATCTGAATTACTCCACAAAATGTACTCTTATTTGCATGTGTGAACTGCAACCTTTCCTCTGTTTGTAATCAACATGTGCACAGTTCTCATATGTGAGAGCTTTAGGAGCACTTTATTTGGTACAATAAATAAAGTAATTCAACACTGATTTGAAAAGGGCCACTTTTGTTTGCTGCTCATCTGATAAATACAGAAATTTTTCCAAAATTTGATCTTGGTACACATAAAAAAAAAAATCCCCAGTAATCCAACTATAAATAAGTGGCAGCAATCTAAAACTGCATGAAACAAAGTGCAGGAAGTGCTTCTTTGTTTGTCATAAATGAAGGGGATTTTCAATGTAAAAAAAATAGGTACATGTTTTATTGCTTATTTTTTTCTGTGCAGACCATGTGGAACCTGCCCGTCTTACTACTAGGTGTCTCTAGTGCACTCGTCGTTGTTGTTCACTGCGCTCCGCAGAAAGCAATATCCGTCACGTTGGACTCTAAATGGAGCAACACACCTCTTCACCTAGAAGCCAGGTGAGTGGTCTCGACATTGTTTTTCACTCAAGTTCCTAGCTGAGCGGTTCTGTGTTACTGCTAGTCATGCAGTGTTGTCTTCTCTTGGTCAGTCGGCCTCTCACCTTATCTCCTTGAAACTGAGTCGAGTGGAATAGTCAACGCGTGAACTCAACGAGTTTGCTGTTGTACGTAATAAACATAATGTGAAATGCAGGAAAAAAAATGGTCAAGTTTTCATGTCAGAAGCACGTGGGCTGGATTAATGTTTTCTTTTTCTTTGGAAGTGTAGTAATTTTCATGAGAAAGTCAGAATATCCTAATGAAATCTGATGATAGGACTCGCCACCACCCTGTTTAATGTATTTTTGCCATTTAAAATGTAATTTGTTATCTTCCTTGTATATTGTTTTCTTCACAATTAGTTTTTGTTGTAACTGCTGACACGGAGAGGGAGGTGGAATGCATTATTAAAGAGTGTTTATTAATTCTAATGTTTCCCAATGTTACCCATCAGAAACATAGATAGGCCTAGACCAGTTTTGATAGTGTCATATCTTGTGTGTTATAAATCACAAAGCTCTCATGCAATATGAAATGTTAAATACTCTGGCTTAAGGAAAAAGGGTTATGGGTTAGAACAGTAGCTACAGTTTTTACAAAGAAGAACATAAGTTGGGATACGAAGTGCTCCTGAATATGTGCATCATTGTTGCCATTGTCAATAAAACGAAATCGGACGTGAAGATTCTCACGGAGCGCTTATGCGGTTGTAATGCCATCTTTAAACTTTCTGTGAATGGAATTTTAGTGTAACCATGTGTTTGACTGTTTGATACAGAAGATAGAAAATACAGGCATCATTAGGAAAGGGTGGTTAGAGTGGATATCGTTCCATCTGTGGCAAACAGTCGATCGTTAATTGGTAACACTGTGTCAACCATTTTGTCGCTTGATTTGTCTTGTTTACACCAAGGCACGCCTAATTACGGGTGTTACACTTTATGAAGCAGAATATATTTTGCAAGCTCAGAGTGGTATACATCACTATAAGAGTGAAAAACATAAATCCTGTACATTTCTTTTGTTCTCTCATATATCATTGATTAACGCTTTGTATCAGAATACAAAAAATAAGAACAAGTATATTTGTCTTGTTTTTTATTCTATTGTTTAGTGAATTCTTCGCGGAGGAAAGCAGCGACTACTTCTGGCGCTATGTTAACGACTTTCAACAACTGGACCTTGCTGCGTTCTCCAACAGTAAGTCATATTCTTTTGTCTTGCACCACACATGCCAATCATTTCTTGTTTGTCTGCAGTGCAAATGTTTTGGTGTTAGGGCACCTCTGTTTGCACGCTCATTCTCTTTAGTCCAGAAACCTGTTAGTGTAGTTTTTATATCACACTGATCGGGTATCAGTTGGATGAATTTTTACTCTCCCCACACCTTGTTTATGTCGGGTACGCTGCTTTAGAATCTCTGTGATTTCACAGTTATGTTTACATTGTTATGCTTTTTAGGACAGTTGTTCAGTAGTCTGTGTGATGTGTAGCTTGGCAAATAGCTAGTGCATGTTAATGGGCAAGTGACAGAGTTATGTTCAAATTCTGTACTGTGTCATGTTATGCTAAGAGCAGGTGCTTCAGCATGACTTCAGCCCTGTTCATGCTCTCATAATATGCTTTTGTTGTTGTTAACATAAAGACACACTAATTTATGTAAACCTTGTCTAAGGGCAGTAGAGCTTGTATGGGCTGCTTACATGCATTTAAGTGTAAAAGAATAGGCTGTATGTGTACATGCATATGTAGTAATGATCATGACACATTGGTGTGCTGGACTCCCTAGAGGTCCCCCTAACTTTCATCCCTGTTCTGAGTTGAGCCGCTAAAGAATGTCAGCTTTTCGAGTTGAGCTATGTTGCCAGAAATTCGCCCCTAGAAGGAGTTCTTCGAATGCGTATTGCTGCTACTGTTGAACCAGATAACCAAGCATTCCCTCACTGCTGCTGCACAGTGAGGACCTCATAAGCAATGGGCTGTATCAAAAGGAGAATGGAAGTTGTCACAGATTGCCAGCCTTGCAAGGGCAAGGTCAATGCTTCTTCTTCACGCCCACTCTCAACTTCCTTTGCCACTGGTGGGAAATGCCTGTTTGGTGCTCATTTGTGGCAACTTCCTGCGCGTGGTTGCGTGTTTATCTTAAGTCTCATTTTCTCTCTGCTGAGAGGTTATCTTAGAAACGAAGGGTTATTGAAACCGAGCGTTCATGCGGATCTATTTTTTCAACTTATATCATTTTATGTGTGTGTATGCATGCTGTCATGTGTACGTGAGGCTTACAAAAGTCTGTGCTACCAAGTACTTTGCTTAGTTTAAGTGAACAGGGCTTGTACCGTGCTCAATGTCATGAATAAAGTAAAGAAAGAGAACATTTTTGCTATTATCTTTGTAGCATGTTTTGCCAATTAGTCTGCCTAGCATGGCAGTCACTCCAAACATGTGAATTGATCTGACTAAATGATGTTTACTTCATAATGGCACATTGGTACTGCATTAACAAGCAGCTGTGAAAATGAGCAAAATGTGGGTATCCTTCCTGCCGATTAAATAGCATGACTGCCTGACCTTGTCATTTTTTCATGCATGCCATTTATTCTAGTAAAACTAAAAAACTGTTAATGAAAGGAAGAGCTTGACTAGCACGTGGAAAGTTTTGTTTTCTTTAGTTGTCAGTTCTCGTGCTTGTTTTGACGCTGTCTTGTCATCAGTGGTGACGTTAGCCGGGTTTAGTTATGCCGTGCCACTACAGGTTGTGCTGAATCAAACTCTTGTTTGTGCCCCGGCAGTCCTGTGACCTAGTTTTCCAAGGGGCTTAGGAGGGTGGTCACGTAACAGCGATACCCCATTGTTTACTTTTTAACACTTGTGACAGGTGTGATCGTCACTTCGTGGGATGATGCATTGTAGCCGCGACATTTGTTTTTGTGCCCTGCTGGGGTGTTTGTTGCATCGCATGTTGTGGAAGGCTTCCTGTGGACACGCTTGCTTTTGAGCAGACACAAAGGGCATCAATGATTGTTTGGTGTCGGGGCTTCTGATGAGTTAATAAGGACAACAAATTCTGGTTTATTGAGAGTCATCCTACTTGAACTGCTAAACAAGTCAGAGGAGCCTTGTTGCTCTCTTTCTAGTGATCAGCACCAATATAACATTTGTATGTAGGTGCTGCATACGTTTGGTTTCTCATTGCACCTGACAACTGGTATGCTTCAAGATACTTTCAGAGTTGGCCCTCTTTAATTTAGCTGTATCTCAACGGACAATTTATTGTTGTGATACTTTTTTGTAACGTCTGTAGACATTCAGGTTTTTGCAAAGCATTCACCATTTTGCATGAAATTGAACATCTCAAATGTTGCACAAGGCCCTGTGTATGAGGTCCATTAGCTCTGGATACTTGGATACAAAGCTTTGGAATCTGCTCTGCCTTTGTAACTTGATTAGTAAGCATCATAAGTTATGTTTTAGCGTTTCAATGTACCCAGCTATTGCATAACCATACTTTTCATTAGACGGGCTGCTTTCACATAGGGTTCCATTTGGCGTTAGGGTTGACTTTGGCGTAATCAATGACATTATCAGCTCTCTTTTTGGTAGCACATTACTTATTGCTGTGGAAAGCAATTGTAGCACACTACCCGACATTACTTTCGTGTTAAACAGAAAACAACTAGCAAAGTAGCAATAATGAACTTGCATTTTAAGCAGAGCCATCACGATTGCTGGCGCACTTACTATCTCGGCGAGTAAATCAGTGCGCTTTCAACGCGAAGAGACTGTGTGAAAAGAGCACTTCTCCCTGGAGCGGCCGTATTCGCTAACACCAGCGTTTTGTAAGAGTTCCGCGATATCGGATCCAAAAGAGTTGGCTGCTAGCCTTACTTCTTATAACATTAATTTTTTTGCTGTTGCGTTCATTGCATTGTATTCAACGTGCCGCCATGTTGCCAGAACTAATAAGCTAATAGCGAAAGCTACCAGCCTGCAAACTCGCGGCACGCCGCGAGACAAAAGCGCGTGATGAGTCGACCTCCGAAGATCCGTCATCACCGTGGTCTCGGATAGTTTTCATCAGCGGCTAATTTGACATCCCCTCGGTTGTGACAACATGAATGTCCAAAATTAAGGAAAGAAAAGTCACAGTTTCGTCGCAAGGGCCAAGCAATGAAAGTGATAGCAACAACTTGGAATGTAACGCTCAGAACAGCAAGCAGATCTAAACGTGCAGTGTGCTGCTCACGCACAAAATGACGCACGAATACAACATACTCGGGACAAGAGAGAACCAACAACGTTTACCGCTCGACACTTGATGCGCTGTTTAAACAAAAACGAGGCACGAAACGTAATCACATGTCCAGATATGAGTGCTAACTAACAAGTGCTCCAACTGTTACTTCGCAGTGTTGGAAAAGCGCACTTTTCGCAAACGACGCCTGTCCAGTGTTACGAGCCACGTCAGTGGCCGCAGCGGACCCAGTAGGTAGCGTGGAGCTGGGTGGTGGTCGTCATTCCGCAGGCCACGGGGATGTTCAGAACACCAGAAAGCTGAGGGAGAGGGACCGGCGTAGAGGAAAACTTAACAAGATGTTTATTTGCAACATGCCGGACAGTGCCGTCGGAGAGTAACGCCCGAACGACGGCTCTTCTCGCGACTCGCTCCTGTTTCCTTCTGGCGGGTTGCTCCCGCTGCTTCGCTGTGCAGTTCTGAAGATAGGGGCGGAATGTCACTTCGGGGAACCAACCACTCATGGAGAGCACAACACAAGACAAGTGTCCCTTCACGCACGTGGCAGAAGCACGTGGCACACGCACGGGGACTAGGAGGCGACCACACAGGAGTAATTCATGGCAGTCGCTCCTGTAGCACACAACCGGCCTTCCGCACATTCCAGACGGGCCCGCTCGTAGCCACTGCCCTGCAGGCGAAGCGCACAGCCGAGACAAAGACAGCCGGTGCAGGTGACAATCCGTACCCAATAAAAGAATGTTCGAGATGGTGGGAAGTCACGCTTGGGGGCAGCTGGCCCAAGGACTTCGTTACTGCTTTGTATCACCAGCGAGTGAAGTGATCTTTGCGCGCTCGGCAACTAAACACAATGGTTCCGGTCAAAGTCGAAGGTGCGTGATTCTCCCTATCGAAGGATAAGCGCACGCGCACAAGCCTTATTGAGATTGTCTCCCACTGTTACTTTGTTACATAGAGGTCCCAAATACATGTGCTTCTATGGAGCAATGGTGGGGAATAGAAAAACTTTGTTATATCGAGGAGTTCGTTATATGGAGGCTCGTTATAAGCAGGTTTTACGGTATATAAGCACTGTGTCTTATGCAAGCTAGTGCCGGTGGGAGATTTCTCCTGTGCATTGTTGAACACTAAAAACTCAGTTTGCAGGTTAACTAAAAGCGGACTGCAGGTCTATGTCCAATTAGGGTCTTCTGTCTCTCATAGCCCATTAGCAGTGATGGGCATGCTCTTGTAGGAAACATCGGTTCATCACTGCGTGCTTTCTGCCACCCGAAGTTTCTCTCCCGCGCAACAATACGATTAGTGCCACCGTCAACGCCAGCAGAAGTGTTAGCCGGAGATGGTGTTATTTTTTGTTGTGTTTTACCATGTTTCCATATTGAGGCTGTTGTACATCTTAAGTACCCTTCACATCATTTTTATTCCTGCGAAAGTTTAAGAACTCTGTCATCTTATTGCTTTAAGTCAGCATTGTTTTTGTTTGTTTGAAAAGAGCCAAACAGAAGAAGCATTGTAAAAGCAGGTGAGCTTGACAGATGCATTTACACCCCAAGGCTTTCCACTTGGCCCCCCTTTTTTTTTTATTGTTCGTGCTCTGCACATGACATCATAATTAGCTGCAGTGGCTTTACAAGCACCACTCACGTGCAAATCTGTTTACGAATAGGGGCAGTGGCTTTCCAAGCACCACTTCTGTGTCCTTTTTACAGCAGTTGCCTGCTTGTCTTGCTTGGGCAATAATATCAATGGCCCAGCACATCCTGCTTTTTAATTATTCACTTATTGCTGTACAGTTTCTCAGTTCTGTGCTTTTTTTGTTATGTTTCCAGCATATACATACACAGTGCCATCCCTATTGTCAGCGTCAACACTTCTTTCCCTGAAAAAGTGGAGTGCTTGCTGGCTTTTGGTTGGATTGTCGCACCTTTTTGTTCTTTTTGTTTTTCACAATGTTCTAAAGCACACTGTTTTCTTGGTCGCATCAAAGGTGTGCGGACTCTTAGAGAGTCCAAACAAAAAGTCCACAAGGTATCACTGTTTATAGGGACCACTGCTACTTCTGGCCTCCTTCTCGTGAGCCTGTTCTCAGCACGCATATCTATAAGTGGGTTGCGCAGGACTTTAGGAGTGTTTGCGTTGCCAATCTCTGCATTGGTGCCAGGTATTGCTTGTTTTGTTGTATGCCCACACATCTTTATGCTTGTGCGCAGCTCCGTAATGCTATATTATAAAAGGCGCTACTCCTCATGTGAAGTGACACGTAGATAATATTGTTCTTTGTCTGCGATGCAAAGGGCTTCACCACATTTATTTGTTCTGGATGTCTTTGTTGGCAATGCATAGCACGTCTCTGTGCTTCAATTTGCTCTCTTCAAAGCAAGCTGAAAAGGTCACAGGAAGATGGAGAGCTGAACTAGGCCATCGCAGCTGGAGTAAGGAAAGGTTCAACTGGGAATGAGCTTTTTAGGAAAAAGTTTCTTCCTTGACAAGGTGGTCCTGACAAACACAAAATATGCCTTATTGAAAAAAATATGCTCCGGGCTGTGGCTCCTTTAGTTTGTACACTGCTAAACCGTTTAAGTTACCTATAGTACAGGGATATCACGGAAGATGTTGTTGAAGGGGTAGCACATTGGCCCTTTAGTTGAACGAGTCTTGCACTGTGAGCTGAAATGAAAGATCTGCAACAGGAACAACAAGAAGAAAAAAACAAACCACAATAACTATGCTATGGTTTAAGTGGGTTCGTGAGTGATGGCCATTTTTCCACTCGCCTCACTTGCTAGGATTTTGACTCTTTTACTGCGTTTCATACACTGTTGCTTGCTCAATGATGTTAAAAGAGGAGGGGGGGCTGAGGTCATGATGGCCAGAAGCCCATGCGGCCACTGAGAAACTGCAACCTGTCATCTCACAGCACCGTGGACGACAAGAAAAGGATCAGTGCAAGCTCTGCCAAAACCTTTCTCGGCAAATATTTACAAAAAGTCAATCTTTCGCTTCTGTTTAGTCTCTTTTTTCAGCCTTGGGCAAGTGAGCTACAACAGTTACTCTATATGCTGGCCCCTCTCAAAAATGCTCTTCACATCACTCTCTTTTTGAAGTGCAATGCAGGAAAGGGTGACAAAAGAAAAAAGCTTCATGTTATGGCATCTCTAAGTAGGCATGAATAGTAAGAGGGAATACCTTATCTTTTGGGCATGCTCACATGTCGTGCTGCACGCCTGTCAATGAATATAATTGTGCATACACTCAAAGTTGCATCTTATACAAAATGAAGTTTGTTATATCCGAAAATTGTTATATAGATATATTCTCAACACTATTGCAAGACTATTTTTCATTTACTTTTTCATTTACCGATATTTCATTATATTCAGGTTCGTTATATCGATGTTTGAGTTATTTCTTTTCACTGACTATGTATGCACTTCATATTTGAGCAGAAAGCATCCTCAGAGTTGCGTGTCTGTTCGCCTTGTTATTGTGCAGGCACGCCCAAGGTGCAGTATGAGACTGTGCTTGACGTGGCCACCAAGCACCTGTCGCCAGCCAAGCTCGCATTGCTGAAGCTGTCGCTGTCCCTGCGAGCCCACTCGCCAGCCGTTGAGACCTTCCAGCAGGTAGGATAACTACACTCTATGAAAGTCATTGGAGACATTCTTCAAGTTTTTTTTTCATGCGGAACTACTCGTAAGACCCCTGGGATTCTGCCAGAGCAGAGCTGGGATAATGTGATGATGCTATTACTCTGTTTTGCCTGTTTGCGCATTGGCAGGGGTGTGAGTGGCACCGATACAAGTTGTTGCCACACTCACTGCAGGCTTTTCATGGTTAGACACAGTTGTGCAAAGGTCTACTATCCTGCAATCAGATTAGATGCATTAAAGGCAGCTTATATTTTGTGCGGGTTCAGTGAGATGTGATATGAACTACAAGCATGCGCGATGAATACATGATACATAGCATTGTACGAAACGAATCACATGCTCCGTATCAGCTGCGTGACATGAGTGACAGCATGCTGGTATCATGATCGAACATGAATGACATACATGCACAACATACAGCTTGAATTACATGTGTGATATGAGTGTCATGACAGGTGCGCTACGAATGATACTTGCAAAGTGTAGCATGACCTATGACATCTGAGACATACTTGTATGACGAATTGTGTATGCAATCTTGCACAATTCAGTAAAGGTAGCGAAAAAAATTTTCATGAAGTATCTCTATACATTATTAAGCTGGCTGAGACATGTTTACAGCTAAGATCTTGGCAATCAAGATAGGCGATGTTGGCTAAATGCCATTAAATAAATTTGCAGAGGCCAGCGAAGGAATGACCATTGTGGCACGGCTTTTTAGGAGCGAAGCTCTTTATAGAGGCACCCGTTCGTCCCTCGTAGCCATTGTTGTAGTGCGGAACAAGTATAACATTTTGACCTCCAAGGTGGTGCTGGTGAGATATTTCTTCTCTGCGTTGTTGAGCAATAAAAGATAGTGCTCATTGTACATGCCAATGGCTGCTAATGGGGAATGAGAGACAAAAGCATTCCGCTTTTAGTTAACGCGCACGCTGCGATCCCCATTATCAGCCATTGGCATGTACATTGAGCCCTATTTGACAAGAAAGGGTTGCTACGTTATACTCGCTGGGCGTAACCTCCTTGGTTTTAGAAAGGTGTAGCGAATGTTGGGCCGCAGTGCCATAAATACAGTGAACTAGTATATACCATGAACTCGAGGTGGTTAAAGGTGGGAAGTAGACCCGAAGCGCAAGCCGTAAAAAAGTGTGCGTGTGCCACCTCTTGTTTAGTCCTTAGAGTGTTAGCTGGATGGCAGTGCTTCTATATGGGGAATATATGATGAAAAGATGCGAGATGGTGGTACTTGGGGTGTTGAATAGATGGACGAACGGACACACAGACAGATGCATGGATGGACCCATGAACGGACGCTGGGGCGGATGCATGGACGAACGCAGGAACGGACGCACAAACAGACGCACGCACGGACGGGCGGGTGGACGCATGGACGGTCGGGTGAACGCATGGACGGTCGCAAAGACGAATGCATGGATGGACGGAAGCAAGAACGAATGGACGGACGAATGCATCGCCCCACTCTCCATCATTCACTCTGTTGATATGCAGCCAATTTTTTTTTATTTTCATATATGTCTCATGAGAAGAGTCATGGGGCAAAGAGACAGCGTGTGTACAAAAAAGCTAACAAAGCAGAAATGCCTGGTGCCACCTGATCTCCATGTGCGCACACTGCACCTTAGCTTTGTATTTGCTGCTTATCCAAATCGGGTGCGTCGCTGCTGCCGCGGCTAGGCCTAGCAGCAGACGAACTTCTCGCCGGCGCTCGCTGCGTGCCTTTGGGGCGCCTTCCCTCCTACTGGTGCCGCGTAATGAACACCCGTGAACAAAAGTAGCGTTTCTCACTGGTAACCGTGGCGCGGAAATAGTAACTCTGGCGGTTGTGTTCGTCGATGTCTCGTCAAAAGCAGGAGAACGAAAAAAAACTCCCAAGCATTTCCCCGAGGGTGAACATCGTTAAGTGCGAATACACGGGGTGATGCTATGAGGGGTATTTATTAATTCGCACTATTATATTTATTAATCACACTATGGTGCCTTTAATGGTTCCTGGGAATTGCAATTTGATCACACGAGGGAGTTTACGTTAACTCACTGGCGAATGCCAACGGATTTTAACTTTACTCCCCCTCACGACCCGCTCTCGACGGCAGACTGAGAGAGAAGGCGGGCGCGCGCGAGAGAGGGGTGCGCGCGCAGCTGCAGCGAGAGAGGAGAGCGGAGGAGCGAGCGAAGGGGGAGGGGGTATAAGGCGCGTTATTGACACCGATATCAGCGTCGCGTCCGTGGCTTATTCGGTAGAGCGTCACGCTGCGGCCCGCCAAGTCCTCTTTCTTTTAAAGATAGAGAGGACTGCGGACGCCGCCGACGGCGGTAGATGGTTTGGGGTCGCTTATAAGGTGTATTCACACTTAAAAGCGCTCGCAGCCGACTGCGTGGCGGAATGCTCGCAACCAATGGCAGGGCTCCGATCATACCACGTGAATTCGAAGGCCCACTCGCCACGCTAGAATGCTGCGGCGAAACGATTTTTTTGTTGTATTTTTAGCGTGATTGCCGCTCTGCCATAGTGGGCTCTGGGAGAAGAGGGTTAGGCCTACGTGCCCGCGAAATTTCATGAGCCGGCGATGCCGTAGAGCGAAGTGCCACGTGCGCGAAAATTGGGTGATTTCGCACTTTCACGAGCCACCGCGAGTGCTTCAATTGTATTTTTCGATAACTTCTAGTTGATTCTCAGCTTTAATTTTTTTTTCTTATATTAAGGAGAAGACTTGGAGGAATATAAAACAAAAAAAAAACACAAAATCAACTTTTTCGGAAAAGATCGCGGTTTTTCAACCCGCATCTCCCCTTAAAGACTATTATGATAAGAGTTGGCTCAATGAATGGGGCTCTGCTGCCAAATATGGCACTGTGAGTTCAATTCCCCGTGGAGGTATTCTAACGAGGATGCTACACAGAAATAAATTAAATGTAGGGGATGGGGCCGTTATCCCTTTGGACTGATTTTTTTGTGACAGGAAATGTGGGGAAGCCATGGTACACCGCATCGGACTGCTGGTGAATGTCGAGCACCCAAAAGCATCATCGAAATCGGGGTTGTGATGTAAAAAAAAAAAAACTAAAGAATTTTCTCTTTTCAGAGCGTGCACGAATAATCGCTCTGAAATTCATCGCCTCAATGCGTCTGTTTGGGCCTCAAATCGTGCCAGAATTGGAACACGTGCAAAAAGAATCATCACAGAGTGATTGAATGTTTGGATATTTTACACAGTTGAAGTTCCTGGCTTGTGTCAATGAAGCAATCAATCAATAAATCCCTGTTTATTATGATAAACTCAGCTGCAGTGCATACGTCGCTATAATACTTTTTTTTTTTTGAGGTAGGCCCGTTGCCAGGAATATTTTTGGAGAAGGAGGGGAGGGAGAGGTGGGAACTGATTGAAGGGCTTGAAAAGCACCTGTTTTGGTGATTTATTATCGGTAAAACACCGCCCTCCATCCGAATTCCGGGAGGTGGGGAAGGGGCTAGGGCACCCCACCTGGGAACCGGTGGGGGTGCCCAGGTGGGGTGCCCGAAAGTTTAAACTTATTGGTGTTATGGCCTCCGCGTTACTGATCTTATGTCTACTTTCCGTAAAAATGCGGAAAAATTCCAGAGAAAGTGCGCTTATAAATATGTCACGCATATAATAACACATTATGCGGCTGTTATGCATATTTCCGTATGATGACTGCTGTGCAAGCAACGCTATCCTCGAGTGGTGTGCCGAGGTATGCAGCACGTGTCGTTTTCTCAAGACGAGATCTCGTCAAGGCCATCGGCGTCCCGTGAAACCTGTGCGCACCACCGGCGATTCTGTCCACGCGCGACCAATGCGTTCATGCACGAGAGCGACGGCTTCGCCCGTTGTGTCAGCAGTAACAAATCAATGACATGCGCCACATGTCTGAGTAACGTGTACACGCGCTTTGTGCGGGCTTTCTCGTGAAGAAAAAAAAAAGACGGATTGACTGTCGTCTTGAAACTTTCGCGAAAGTTAGCTGAAGACACAGCTGTGCCGCGCGTCTTTTTAAAGCAGATTGTTCTCCATACGTATGCGCTACCTCTACGCGTGTGCTTTGGGGCCATTAGGGGTTCTGGTGCGCACTTTGGTATTGCGTAACTGATCCCCTGTACGCATAGATGAATGTCTGTTGGCCGTCTCTGTAGCGCTTTGCTGGTTTCATTGTTTTTTATTAGGCTTGGCTGATGAAGGAAGTTTGGATGCTGGAACGATCGTTTATTCTGTCCGCGCGGTGGCGAGGGCGCGCAGTGCTAATACATCCCGGTTCTCTCACTCGGTGCCTCATTCTTCTTCTCTAGCCCAATGACGAGCCGAGAAGGCCAATGATAGGATCAGTCGATGGACAGATGCCCATGATGGCGCTGTTTGTTTGAGCACCGTGAAGTCGTTCGCGAGCGACCTTGCGCTTCTGTGTCCATTCAAGACGGGTATAGCGTGTCGAAACTGATTTAAGTTCTGGTCGATGGTTATCGTTGACGAGAGCAAACAAACACTCGATGCCTACTGTGGGAGCTGGACGCATAATTGTGACCTAATGTAGTCCACCATATATGCTTCTCGAAAATGGCCTGAACCGCATGATTTGCGTACGCAATGGAGTCGAACGCCAGTTGGACTTATCCTGTTCGCATCGAAGCCATCATTTTTCGATAGTGCAATCGCGGGTATTTCCCAGCGTTTTCTGATATCGCACATCCGTAATCATTGCTTGGAGGCCCAAAAAGTGTTTGCTTTCGAGTCTGCCTATACTGTACGTGTTGTACCTGCATGCATTCGTTCGCCTGCGGTGTTATGTCGGACCGGCCCATAACGTTCCCTGGTGCAAACGACTGAGGATTGCCCGCAAGCTTTCGGTTCATTGAAAATTTACTTCGCACTGACGTACGTTGTTTCTGTAGTTGGAGCTAGACATTCGTCGCTAGAAAAGACTGTAATTGCCTGATC